AGCTGCATCCTCAATTGGTGTTCCAGTGTCAACCGATAACTTGCAATTAGTAACCATGGGTGTAGGAAGGCCTTTAACATCTTCAAGCCCACTTTTAAGCAACAAATCACGTATATATTTTTGCTGACTCAAGATAATCACATCAGCTTCTCGACACACTTCGATTCCCAAAAAAAAAAAACTCAAGACCCCTAGGTCCTTTAGTGCAAATTGTTTATTAAGAACATCGATCATACCTTGCACTTCTGTTTCACAGTTGCCTGTGATGATGATATCATCTACATATACCAGTAGATACATGATGTTGTTACTAGTTTCCCTAACAAACAGTGAAGCATCAGACTTTGCTAACACAAATCTCTGAGCCACTAAAAACTCCTTTAACCTTTCAAACCATGCTCGGGGAGCCTGTTTTAGCCCATAAATGGCTTTGTTAAGCTTGCAAACCAAACTTCCATCACCTTTTTCATAGCCTGGTGGTTTTGCCATATATACCTCCTCAGTTAGAACTCCATTGAGAAAGGTGTTATTTATATCGACTTGCCTTAACTGCCAACCCTTAGCTAGTGCAAGCGAGAGCACGACTATAACTATTGTTAGCTTGACCACAGGGCTGAATACTTCATGATAATCGACACCTGGCTGTTGTAGAAATCCCTTGGCTACAAGTCGGGCCTTGTACCTTGCTATGGATCCATCCGCATTTCGTTTGATTTTGAAAATCCACTTACAGTTCACTGTTTTCCTTCCACTCGGGAGAGGAACAAGCGTCCAGGTGTTGTTTTTCACGAGTGCATCAAACTCCATTTGAGCAGCAGCTCTCCACTCAGGACTCTTCATGGCTTCTCGAATGGTCCTCGGTTCTTTATCTGAGCAAGCCACCTAAAATACTCTCAGCTTCCAAATCCCATTTTTACTTCGAGTCACCATGGGATGAACATTGGACTGTTCAACATCATCCTGAGCACTAGGAATTGATTCATTAATAACAACATCATCACTCAAAGCAACTGGAACACGTAACTCATGTGCACCATCAGCATTAGTCGTCCCTTCAGCACAAGCCACAGCAGGCACTTCTAAACCATGACTTGTACACACATTCTCCACAGTGTCTATTACGTGTGACGTGCCAGGCAAACACAGGTCAGGGCTGGGATTATAACAACCCACTGAATTTGGCACAACCTCTACACACCGTCTAGGTTGACCATTGTGTAACTCTTCATAAGATTGTATTACAGGCAGAAAATTTGTCGAGGTGACAGTACCACAACTTGACAGACCTCCTTGCTTACCAGCATAAGGAAAAACTCCTTCATAAAATACAACATGTCTTGAAATAAAGACTCTCCCACCATCATCTAAACATTTGTACCCTTTATATAACGGACTATATCCAAGAAACGTGCACTGTTTTGACCTGAAATCCAGCTTATGTTGGTTGAACGGTCTTAAAAGAGGAAAGCAGGCACACCCAAAAATCCTGAGCATGGAATAATCAGGAGTCCGTTTATAGAGAATCTCAAAGGGAGACTTGCCACCTAACACTTCAGTTGGTAAGCGGTTTATTAAATAAATGGCTGAAATAAACGCATGACTCCAGAAATTTAAGGGTAGTTCAGCCTCAGCTAGCAATGCTAATCCCATTTCAATGACATGCATGTGTTTCCTCTCGGTTTTCCCATTTTTTTCAGACGCACTGGGACAGGAAATCCGTTGTTGAACACCATTAGCAAGGAACCAACCTTTGAGAGCTTGATACTCTCCTCCTCCATCAGTCTAAACAATTTTGATTTTGAAGCCAAACTGAACTTCTACCATCTTGTAGAAATTTAAGAAACATTGCATAACCTCAGATTTCCTTTTTAGTAGATAAACCCAATTATGCCTACTGTGCACGTCTATAAACGATACATAATACGAATAACCATCAGCAGAAACAACAGGTGTTGGACCCCAAACATCTAAAACAATCAACTGAAAAGGTTCCTTGTATTCAGTTAAGGAATTACAAAACGGAAATTTATGAGCCTTGCTTTGTAAACATGTTGTACATACATGAGACAACTTATTGTCACTAGAACTGACATTACAAGTCTTCATTACGGCTCGAACAACAGCCATCGAAGAGTGACCAAGACGTTTGTACCACAAGTCTATTGAACTCGACGCTCTCGAGACATTATTCAACTGTCAGCTCGAGTCCTTCACAGTGTGTGGCAGCAACTGATACAACCCATCACGCGTGAGCCTCTTTTTCAACAGGATCTCCCGAGTCTGTGAGTCCTTCACAAAACAGTCAAAAGGATGAAACTCGATAAAAACCTTATTGTCACGAGTGAATTGTGACACAGACAGTAGGTTCTTCTTTATGTTTGTCACATGAAGCATATTTTGTAGCAACAAAGGCTTCGAATTACTCAACAGACAATATTGTCCTATATGTGCAATCTTAATACCTTCTCCATTTCCCATAAGTAGATTATTATTACCTGTGTAAACTGAACCAAAGTTGAAAACAAACAAATCATTGGTAACGTGGTGTATAGCTCCTGTATCTGGATACCAGAGAGCATCAGTAGGTTTGATTGAAGTACTAACTGAAGGAATTGTTGAAACAAAAGCAGCTGGTGAAGATGACATCGAGGAACCAAATGAGTTCTTTCCAGCAGTAGAACCAAACGATGAATCACTCGAGGCTACATTAATATGGGGCATTGACACTGGATATGCAACTTGAGGAGTAAGCAAGTGACCATTATGGTAGTATGGTACTGAAGACAGGACATAAAACAATGCCAATGTTATCCATTCAAAAACGTCATACTAAACATATATAACTTTCATCGAATAAGTATCTGATCAAGTCATTTTATTGCACTCTCCCGATTAAGGCAAATAACATGTCATCGTCTAATGAGCTCTACATCGTTACTTCTATACCATGAGAATTTCTCCATACTTAGGATCTCAAAAGAGCATCTCTCTGGATAAAGAACCTCGAACACCTAACACTTCTTAAAAAGTTGTGAACCCTTGACATAACATTTGACAGGCTTACATAACCTATCAAACCCAAATCTCTCATCAACTGATCATATTTACTTGGTCTATTAGTTTACGAGTAGTTATAATGACCATACGACTCGTACCAACTTCAAGATTCACTATAAAATATCTCGATTAATATCGAGAGAAGGGATGAAACCACCTCTTTCTCATTCACACCCTTTCTATATCCTTGTAAAAACATAATACATTGATATCGATCAACGATCGTCTTTCTATTAACTACGATTCTCTCTCTAGACCAAAATAGATGAACCGATTATAACCAATTCTATATTTATTTTTATCCAATTCCAACTCTGATTGGATATCCAGTCCTTGTCGTTCCAGACTAGGGGATAGAGAAGCGTTAACTTCAGCTATCTAACTTGGATGGTATTTCTAAGTGGGAAAGCATTAATTATTTCTTTAATTTAGCAAGTTAGGTAAACTGTGAAAAACAAATATACACTAATTCAATAGTCATCAAACTTCATCTATTAAAATATTTTATTTATTTTTAATATAATAATAAAAAAAAGTTTATTGCAATAAGAGTGTACTTCAAGATTAATATATGGTATATTCAATATTTATCAACTTCTATCTACTCAAATTTTTAATTTTAATACATTAATAAAATTTTATGTTTAAGTAATAAAAAATTAAAAGTAATAAGAGATTGTTTATTTGTAGATTTGAATAATTTAAATTAGAATGGAAGTCTAATTCAATATTGGTATAAAAGTATAATAATATTTATCAAACTTTATCCATTTAATTATTTTTATTTATTTTTAATATAATAATAGTGGTTGTAGTTTATATTATTAGGCATGTAAACAAACCAAACGAACATGAACGATGGTATATTCATGTTCGTTCGTTTAACTTTAACAGAACAAACGAATGAACACAAACAACTAAACGAAGGGAATTTTTTGTTCGTGTTTGTTCATGTTTGTTCGTTTAAATGATAAATGAACACAAATGAACAAACGTAAATGAACACAAACGAACAAACATGGGCGTAAATGAACATAAAATTATTTGGGTTTATATTTGAGAAGAGTTTTTTTTTTAAATAATTTTAGAATTTATATTTTCTTTAATTGATTTGAGTATTTTTTTTATTTGAGTTTAAAATTAATTGAGTTTAAAAATATTAATGGTTTTAAGGTTAAAACTTGTTAAGCTTAATATTTCAAACGTGTCTGGAGAGCATAAACGGACATAAATGAACAAACAGATTATCGAACGTTCACGAACATAAATGAACGAACGAACATTTTGTTCATTAATTAAACGAACATAAAATTTTATTCATGTTCATTCGTTTAAGAAATAAACAAACATAAAAGAACTTCCCACCGAATGATTCACAAACAGTTCGATGAACATTCGATTCGTTTACAGACCTATACATTATTAATAATTTTATATATTTAAAATGTCAATTAACAATGTAGTGATATTTTTTTGAATGTTTAAAAAACAATATATATTTTTATACTATGGTTTATATCTAAAATTTGTCACATGTGATGACGAATTTCAAAAAATATATTAAAAAATTTAAACTCATCATATAAACTTTTTAAAAATTATATGAAATTTGTCACGAACAATAATAAATTTTAATTATTATATTTTATAAAACTCTTCATTTTATTATAACAAATTTTAATCCTAAAATAATTCTCAAACATCTATTTTTTCATTTTTTTTTTCGTGTGGATTGTTTTACAAGGAAGCTTTATCTCATGTCCGAGCCTTGGATATTTTAACGTCTTGGACAAAAACATCCAAACTCACACGCGCTCATTACCCCGCGTGAGAAGCACTTACCATCCCAATTCCAGAAAATAGTTGACGACTGACGAATACGCCAAAGATACACTAGCGACGGGCTCTTGTGCTCTATCTTCCAATTATATATACACAATTTCGACGCTTTTTTTAAAATATATTCGCAGGGATAAAGTAAGGTGACGGTACGACGTCATCATTATCGTCTCCGTCGATCTTTCCGGCCAGAAAATTCACAAAACAACGTCAGTCGCGATTCAATCGTTGTTTTTCTTTAAGATTTTATGATTTGAATCTAGTTTGATCGATTTTCCCTTATTTTAGAGCTTGATTTTGGATAATAATGGCAAGCGTAGAGGAGAAGAAGGCGGCTTTCGATGCGGAGTCGGCGAAGGAGGTGGTGAAAGAGTTGAGAGCTAGCTTCGCTTCCGGGAAGACTAAAAGCTACGAATGGAGATCGACTCAGTTGAACGCCATGTTGAAGATGATGGAAGAGAACGAGCCGCAAATCGTCGCTGCTCTTCGCGATGATCTTTCCAAGCCGGAACTGGAATCCTCCATCCAGGAGGTCAAATCTTTTATTTAATTAATTCTTTTTTTTAATTTGATTCCAGATTAGTTTTTTTATTAATTGAATTTTAATAATGAACGATCAATTACGAATTATAGATTTTAAATACAGAGTCAATAGGCGGCTGTAACAAGTCAGCAATGAAATATTCTTGATTTCACTTAAATTTTTAAACTCTTATTAATTATTGACCAGTCTGCAAAATCAGAATATTCATAAAAGACTTGATGGTTGTATTATGTATACTTGTATTTGGTTACTGATAAGAACTTCAACTACTTCTTTGTCTCTAAAGCCAATTGGTGATATTCTGGGGGGTTATCTAATTTTTCATATATCTGCATTAATATCATAAATGAATTCTTTGCAAGACCCTATTTCATATCAAGCTTTCAAGTTGAGAATCATGAAACTCGTGAAGAAAACAGTTGGGAACTTTTGTGAGCTAGAGTGACCCAACTTTCCTTTTTCCCCCTTATTTTTCTCGTGGTGTGCAAAGGTCTTAGACGTGTTTAAATACGTGAGACTTGAAATCTTGGTGAACACATGTAGCATTTATGACAGTCTAATAGTTAGCTTTATCATGAGAACGGTTGGTCGGTTTTTCGGAATTAAAATGATTGCTAGCTATACAATGTTCCAGACTACTAGACCAACACTTCAATATTTATTGCTAACCTAACTTGCACACATTATTTAAAATATTGTATTTCCATTTTGGTCCTTTTTATTTTTTGTTCAATTTTCGTAGTTATTGCTGTCCTTTTATCAGTGAAGTTATTTTTCCAAAATTGTTAATTATTTGGAACAGGTGTGGGCTTTGGATGGTTCCTGTGTTTTCCTTGAATTTGGCAATGTATGTTAGTAGGTTGAAAAAAATTGGAAAAATAAAATAAAAGGAGAAGAAAAACTAGAGAAAGAGAGATGTCTTGCTGTCTAGTCATTTTGAATATTATAATTTGATGATTGGAGCTCCAATTATTACAGATGTGTATAATTTTAATTTTAATTGATTAATGTGGGAGTCATGTAGCATGAAAATTAGATGAAAAATGATCATCTCAAATGAATACTTAAGGAGTTCTTTTCAACAATTATCATCCGTCTATCATAATAATTGTTTGCCACATGTTTGAAAGAAACAGTGTCTGATCCAGATGCTTAAAATACAGTCGCTGGGCTTAATTGTGGTGGCTAGTATGTTTTTTACTTTAAGATAATTGATATCTTTGTATATTTCATGCTGCACCTGATAGTTTAACTCGTAATTTAACACTATTTAGAAAGCTAGAACTATGGAGAAGGCCCATAAGAACCTCTGATGTGCACTTGGTTTACATTGCAGATAGCAATGGTAAAGAATTCATGTACGGTGGCACTCAAGAAAATGAAGCACTGGATGATGCCAGAAAAGGTAAATTTCATGGATTTTGTTGACTGGGAAGGTTCTTCTTGACATTTAAAAGATTTTAACATGATCAACATGCCCTTTTTTGCAGGCAAAAACTTCATTGATTACATTTCCTTCTTCTGCTGAAATTGTATCTGAACCATTGGGTGTTGTGTTAGTAATCTCAGCTTGGAATTATCCTTTTAGTACGTTAAACGACCTGATAGACTTGTTCACAATTATGTTTTCTTCAGTCCTTTTGTTTTTCTAATTTCTAATTCTTAAATTTATGTGACTGATGACACTATAATTGTATCTGTTTTTTCAGTGTTGTCTCTTGATCCAGTTGTTGGAGCCATTGCAGCTGGTAATGCTGTAGTCTTAAAGCCATCAGAAATTGCTCCAGCCACATCATTGTTGCTTGCAAGTCTGGTAGCTGATTATTTGGATCGCTCTTGCGTAAAGGTTGTTGAAGGGTCTGTTCCTGAAACGTCAGCACTACTGGAGCAAAAATGGGACAAAATACTCTACACAGGTCAATGACATTTATTATCCTCCTTTTATCTTCTCTAGCTTAACCTTTTATGTCTTAAGAAACTTGGAGAACTGCATTTGAGATTCATATGTATATCATGCTTCAAGAAGCTTATGATTAGAATGGGGGTTGACTTTCTATTCTTTGTTATCAAACCAGTGTGGGTGAAGAATTAGATTTCAAAATTTTTGTCTTGTGTGTTTTTCTGATTCTCTATCCTTGTGAAAGCCAAATGGTGACATTCGTGATTTAAGGAGGTTCCCCTTTACCATGGAGTTTTGATGTTTCTCTGTAGCTTCGAGTTATCAGGTGATTCGTAGGAAAACCATCTAACTTAGCGCCTAGAGGTGCCTATGCTGTGTCTCCTGTGGTTTGACATATTAATTGGGTAATCTGTTGTTATGTTGTTTCGGATTCTCTTCTTAGCCATTTAATGTTACTATGTCTTAAATGGAGTTCTAGTTTTCAGTGCAGGGTTTTTTTTAATTAATTTTGCAGGGTTATTAATCGATGATTTGGACATTGCCATTGCTAATAGTATATCTATTGTCATCTCAGTTCTCATGAAATGTGTTATGAACTAAAACATTCTTGAATTTTTAGGTAATGCAAGAACTGCACGCATTGTGATGGCCGCTGCTTCAAAGCACTTAACACCAGTTGTTTTGGAGCTTGGAGGAAAGTGTCCGGTCATTGTCGATTCAGACATCAATTTACAGGTAAGCATAGCGACATTGAGTTTAGTTTAAGTTCTGCAACTTACATGTTTTTGTGTATTTTCAGGTAGCAACTAGGCGGATAATTGCCGGAAAGTGGGGGTGTAACAATGGGCAAGCATGTGTCTCTCCTGATTACATTATCACAACAAAAAGTTATGCTCAGAAGCTGGTAAGATCACCTGTATATGTTTAACATTTCTAATCCAGTCATTATTCTCAAGCGTATTTAATCCTGCAGGTAGATTCTTTCATATGTGAATTGGAGCGGTTTTATGGAGAGAATCCATTGGAGTCGAAAGACTTATCTCGCATCGTGAATTCTAACCACTTTGCTCGCTTGTCAAAGCTCTTGGATGAGGACAATGTTTCTATCAAGATCGTCCACGGAGGCGAAAGAGACGAAGCAAAGTTGTGAGTTCCAACCAGGGTTTTACTTCTTCTTCAGTGGCCTTTTTTACAGAGTGTTAATACACATTTCTTTGTTCAAATGGCAGGAGGATTGCACCCACTATCTTGCTTGATGTCCCACAACATTCTCTAATCATGACTGAAGAGATATTTGGCCCATTGCTTCCAATTATCCTGGTAGGAACTAAAAGGATAGTTTTTATTCACTATTTATTTTAATTCTCTTGATATCTCAGTAACGAAAATCGTTTATTCTACCCGGGAAACCGAAATCATTCTACTTCCGTTATCGAATGTGGACATTGCCCATGACATTCTTGTCGTTGGTTCGTAACAGGTCCAAAAAGTGGAAGATAGCTTTGATGTGATAAATTCTTCAGGAACAAAGCCACTGGCAGCATATCTGTTTACCAATAACAAGAAGCTGAAACAAAAGTTTGTTGCAACCGTCTCTGCCGGAGGATTGGTCGTCAACGACACTACTGTACATGTAATTATACTTCTAAGTTATCGAATCGATATGGACATGCATATGTTATCATAGTTTTAGGCTTTATATATCGTGATATTTACGTAATACCATTTCAGCTCACCGAACACACATTACCATTCGGAGGAGTCGGGAACAGCGGAATGGGAGCGTACCATGGGAAATTCTCCTTCGACACCTTCAGCCATAAGAAAGCCGTTCTGTATAGAGGTTTCACTTGTGATGTATCTGTTAGATACCCGCCATACACGAGGGGAAAGCTCAGATTGTTGCAGGCTCTTATTAGTGGCAGCTTCTTAGGCATCATCCGTTCATTGTTGGGATGGTTCAGGTCTTGAATGACAACAGGTATGGGGCCGTCTTTGTTGTAGATTTTCGTAATTTAAGTGCACTGGTTTCGGTTGGGATTAAGCTTCGGTTTGGTTTTAACACACTATATCACCATGTGTTTGTTTGAACACGGTTTGTTCTATGATTCAGGTCTTAGGGTCCGTGTATGTTTGTTTAAGTTGATAGCTTGGATATATCCAAACTCGCCCACACTATTTTTATTTACTACTTTTTCTTTTTTTTAGCACAAATCGAACGATCTATGTAGTTAAGGTAATTGTTGTTATCATTTGAGATTATGGGTTCAAGCATTACGTACGTGAGAGATTTGAGTCTTCATTGTGAAATGATTAAAAATCTTTTAACTAATATTATCTTATATTTACTCCGAAATTATCAAAATAAAAAATAATCCAAGGTGAATATGTTAATAAATTTAAAATTATTTCAATCTTTTTTTCTCTTCGTTGAAAAAAAACCCTCTTTTATCATTGGAAAAGTCTCACGTGCGGCAGCTTAATATACGATTAAGGAAAGACGTTACCGGTTTTGTTATTATTTTTTTAACAACACGGGTAAAAAATTACCGGAAACATTATTATTTCTATCGGTTTTGTTATTATTAGACGTTTTACCGGGTTTGGTATTTGGTAATATATTCGGTAGAAAAAATAGCGCTTTACTGGATATATTACTAAGCTTGGTAAAACGCTCAATAATGTTTTGAGTAGAAATAATAATGTTTCCGGTAAATTTTTACAGGTTTTGTTAAAAAATAACAAAACTGATAGTGTATTTTCTCACTCGTATATTAAGGTCGTCGTACAGTAGAATTTCCCTTTTATCATTCAAATTTTAGAAGAAAAATTAAAGAAATCACTCGAAAAAGATGACGACCTTCGTCTAAGACATCTCCGGTAAAGAATTGTTTCTCTTATATTATTTATACTATTTCTTAGTTTTTCTTAAAATATCTATAAAATTTAAGAATCCATTTGGTTCTAAGAAGATATGGATTATTTTATTTTTTTAGAAAATAGAAAACATCGAAGAAAACATATTTGGTTGTAAAATTAGAAAATAATTACTAGAAAATGAAAACAAAATGAGTGAAAATATGAAAACATAAAAAACATATTTTCAGTATTTTTATTAAAATTGTTTTGAAATTTTGAATAGAAAAAAACGAGATCTAGATTTTTAACTTAACTTAAGTTGGTTAAAATCATTCTAACAATAAATTTCTGATTGTATGATATCTAAAACCCTCAAACTTTTGAAAAAAATCATCGTGATTTTTTATTTTTTTACACTCGATGTGGTCTTTAAATTAATTTTTAATGATTTAATTTTGTAATATTTTCATATTTAATATATTGAATGTCTTAATAATTTTTTATATTTTATATTTTAAATTTAAATAATATCTTAATTTTTTTTAAATTAAATAAGTCTTTAAACTTTTTAAAAAATCAATTAGATCCTAGAATTTAGTAAAAAAAAATCAATTAAATTGATCTATCACATCATCGTCCATCATATACTTCCAAAACAACATGAATTGTCATATCAATATTATAGATTATCATGTAAACTTTATTAACTGTCATGCAAGTATAGTAACAATTTATTTTTATTGGTCAAAGAATTAGATTTTTCTCACAGTTTAAGAGTTACATCGAGTGTAAAAAAAGAGTTCAAGGACTATACTAATTATTTTTTCAAAAGTTTGAGGGCCCTAAATATCAATAAATATTTTTTTTATTTTAATGACACTTTTATGTGCTTTTTCTTACAATAATATTTTTATGCGTTATTTTAGTTTAATTAATGTCTAATTTGTATTAATATTATACTCTTATTATAAACTAAAATAATCATTGTGTTATGAATTTTCTTATCAACTTTATTATTTTATATTTTCATAAATTAGATGTTAAATTTATGTAATAATTTTTAATGATTATATTTTAATTTAATTATTTAATAACCATTTATTCATCTATATTCTTGTCTAATACCTCGAGAGGGAGTAAAAGTGTCGGTCATATTGTCCTTCCAAAAAAATCCGAGTGCGTACCGATAATACACATTGCATGATAAGATTGATCAAGGGAGCAGGAATATCTAAATCACGTAAAGTATCTTCGATAAAAGCCCACTCAAGCCGGTTATAGGCCTTATCAATGCCAATTTTGATCGCCATCCAACCCCGTAGACCTTTCTTATTTTTCATAGAATGAGTCACCTCCTGAGTAATAATAATATTGTGCACAATCAAGCGACACGAAACTAGTTCGATTCTCACAAATCCAACGAGGAAGAAGAGGCTTCAAACCTATTAACAATCACCTTGGTAATGGCCTTACAGACTACATTACATAAACTTATGGGGCAGAATTGTTGAGTTCTTTCCGGAAGGGAGACATTGGGCAGTAACACTAACAGCGTCTGATTCAAGTTAACATGCCAACCATCATCTTCAAACACACCTTGAATGAAACTACAAACCAAAGCACCAATGATGGACCAACTTCTTTGGTAGAAAGCTGCATGTATGCCATCGATTCATGAAGATTTCAAATGAGCCATATCAGAGAAAGCCGTCTTAACCTCCTCATCTGTAATCGATAAATTCTAATCAGAGATCTGGTGCCGCGACACTTGGGAGGAAATCCTCAATAGTAATTAATCTCAGCGCCCCCTCACTCTGGAAAAGACGTTGGTAAAAGTTCACTGCCAAAGCTTGTAGGGACTCGTCATCTATACACCAATCTCTATTTTCATCTTTGAGAACCATTATTTTATTCTATTTTCGTTTAGCCATAACAGAAGCATGGAAGTACTTCGTGATACGATCACCATAAATGACCCAATTCGAGCAAGCTTTTTGCCTCCAAAGAAGGTCCTCTTGGACCAAGATACTATCCAGCTCAGCCCTCATATCAATTTCGAGATTGAATAGAAAATTGGAATGTGCATGTTGTAGAGCCTTTTCAATTCCACGTATCCTACCAATTAAGACTTTCTTCTGCCTACCAATATGGCCAAAGACTTCCTCATTCCAAGATTTAGTTCCACTCCTGCAAATTAATGTTCAAGTCCATACCATTATTCCAAAGGAAATGTAAAAAATCATGGAATTCAGGATGATCATTCCACGCAACAATATATCAAAATGGATGGTTACCTTCCAAACTGTTCGCCTCATGTTTAAACAGAATCGACCTATTATAAGATCCTAGACGATCTAAATGCATAACATGAGCATTCAGGAATTGGACAAGCAGCCTATGATCAGGAAGACAATGGTCCAATCCTTGGTGAACATTCCCACGAGACCAAGTAAAAAGGGACGCTTGGTGACTCAAATCAACCAGTCCAACATACAAGGTAATTTCAGTAAACTATTTGGAACCATTCTTAATCCTACTAGAATCCCCTTTACTCTCATTCAAAGTCAAAATAGAGTTGAAATTCCTACCAAGTAACCAAGCAACATTATCCCCTGGATGAAGCGATTGTAATAAACGCTAAAGATGATTGTGAAGAGACCTACCTAGACTTGCATAAATATCAGTGAAATAAAACCAAGCTTGATCAACCAAATTCAAGGAACGACCATGAATAAATTGATTAGAAATAGAAAGAATTTCTAAGTCCACCTCATTATCATATAGGATCCAGATGCCACCACTAAATCTGCGCGCCTTCACCCGGAAAGAGTGGGAGAATTTCAGATTCTTCATAACTTCATCTGCCCTTCGACCACTGATACGTGCTCGAAAAGTGCAATAACCTTCTGATTGAATTCCCAAATAAAATCTCTTAGATAAAGACAGAAAGTAGGGCTCGCTTATTCAATGTTCATGGTGAGGTTTGGACCCGACTTAACAACCTGAACCTGATGTGGCTCAATCTCTTGCCCCACTTCCTGAAGACCGCAAATCTAGAATGGCCGTTTCTTCGAGGATTGCTTTCTTTTTGTTGATCTTTTTTTTGCTTTCCACCTTAGCTTTTGTTTTGGTTTTGCAACTACCATCCATGGTCCATATAAATCCTCCCCATGAAACTCCAAGGTTGGATCTTTACTGCCATCATTAACAGGAGCAACAGATTAATGAACTGAATCCAAAACCACTGCCCCCTGAGAGCAAATCTCCTTTGTGTGACCATAGGCTCCACAAGAATAACAAATGTTATTAAGCCCTACATATTTAAGCTTTTGAACAAACCGGTCAATACCAATGCAAGATTTGAGGGGCTTGTTAAGATCAACAATAATCGTAAGCCGGACAAATTTCCCTCTACCACCCACCTAAGTGTTATAATCCACCCGCACAACTTTACCTACAGCAACAACAATTCTACAAAATAAAGATTTTGAATAGTAACGATATGACAAACCTGGCAATCAGACCCAAACCAGAACTTGTGAAGGGAGCTTTTTGGAAGTGAAAAACGACCTGCTCCAAGGCTGAACTGTTAAGTAACTACCATAAATAGTTCAGGGACCTTTAGTAAGAGCTTTAATATAGTCCCCGTTCTTTTTAAATTTCACTAAGAAGTAGTTGTTATCCAAATCAACAAGTTGAACGTTCCCTGGAGTTTCCATAGCAACAGAATACTGCACAACAAAGTTTTATATCCTATAGTTCGGCCAAACAAACGGATAATAAGTACCTGATTCATAGATTGATCAATCTGATCATGGGCACGATTCAAGAATTTGATCATCGTGGTTGGCCCGGTATCATCAATGACACAATCCTCATCACGGATTTCAATGTCATCAGTTTTGCACAAAGAGAACGAGACGTTATCCCCATTACTCTTCCCTGCTACCATATGCGCCTAAGAGGGCTTAGCAATATATTCCACCGCATGTTCATTTGATCCCCCCGCAGTTAACTATTTATTTGCATCGATTTGAACTCCACCATCGGTATCCATAAAGCAATCCACTTTCATTGGTATTGGCATTAAGTTGTTTTTTCGAATCCCTGATTTCATTCAGAGATGACTCTGGCCGTTCTAGGATCGGAGGGGGTGACATAACAACAATCCCCTCCAATGGACGATCGTTGTGAACCACAAGATGATCTGAGGGTGACGACGTGTTAGGGCTACATATTGAGAGCATATATTTTATTTTTCTAAAATTTTTTAAATATCATTTTTCGTTTCATTAGAATTTAATTATTTTTAAAACAATTTTTTAAAATTATTTTAATAATGTCATAA